AGGTATTGGATTTACGGTTTAGTTTAGCTTGGTCTCGGTCTATACCGTACCAGCTCTGTGTCTATTTTCGAAATCACCACAAACAGGGTACCCTTGCTTTTCTCACAGCCTACCCGGCTTGTATCTTTTGCCATCCCCAGCTTGCTCCACTGATGAAGCAAACAGCGAAATTCTTAAGCTCAGAATTTGGAAATCAGCAAGCAACGGTATACCCCATGGATAAACATCCAAATGGTAGATTCGTCGTAGATTAACTCTTAGTAGTGTCTACACACATCTCACACAACATCACACATCTCACACAGCACTCAACGTACACACACCTACACACACACAAGATAAAGTTCAAAAGGCCCTCAGCTTGCTAGCTGGTAGTTGAGGGCAATGTCCAGAGGTAAGACGTTGAATTCAAGATTCAAGCATTCCAAGAAGGCACAAAGAGAAAAGCCAGCGAGGCATCTCGATACCGGTACCGTACGAGAGATGGGCGATCTCCCTGTCACTACGGTACCGCCCCACCTGAAGTTGTCGGCGGAAGGAAAAGCTTCAGCAAGTACTACCAAGCGAAGCAACGCTGGTATGCTGTGAAGCCAACGCAAGACAACAAGCAGACGCGCGGGAGGCAGGCAGCCACTGTGGTGCGTTGCTTGCCGACTACAGCCGTGCTGAGTTGGTTTCATGCAGTAGTCTACCGGTACTGCCAAGCGGGTATTCATTCCTTCTATGCACTACGACCGTGGAAGAAGCAGTTGGACAGCTGCAGCGCCAGCTCTGGACAATCATTCGTTCGGCCTACCGTACAGCCATCAGTGCTACGGTAGTACAAGACTACTAATATTGAGAACGAGCGACGAAGCACTGAATCAACACTGTAAAGAAACAGCACAGGTCCGAAGGGGGAATGAGACTGGCCCACCCAACTACATACAGCGAGCACTACAACCTTCAGGCAGTGTCGTTGTGTCGATTGGCTTCACCGGTGATCTGAAATCGGGCCGAGTACGAAGAACATTACTTGTCGAATGAATCCTCTGAAGCCAGAATGCCTTCATCAACCAGTTGGGGAGTGATGTAGATGTAGATGGAGTGGAACTGCTGGAGGCAGGTAAGGATTTTCGAGAATCCAATGCACTCTTTTCTTTCCGAAGGAATGTCTTGTGCCGGCGGCCGAGTTGTTACAGACACAATCTCCCCTCATACTAAGGAAGAAGACTGGCATTTGCAAAGGTATCCTGGACCAACCTTGCTCTTGAAAAGGGTCCTTGCTTGCTGGATGTTGGATGTGTGGTAAGCAACAACAGTGGCATCTCTGAGCTGTTGTCAAGACGAAGAAGATCTTTGGCACTATGGGATGTTATCCATGTTTCTCGAGGAAATCCATCACGGTTGCTGAATTGGTTGCGCTCAGCAAGCAGGCAACACCGCGCCGCAAAAAGAAAGAAATACAGCACATTATGGCTGCTGGTTGAAGTAACTGGCATAAATTCAGCTGGCCATGAAAATCAAGGCATATCGTTAAATAAAGGAGCTCTCGAGAATGTCTTTGCCTGAACGCGCAGATTGTCGTCACGTCGTCACGCTCTCGTCAGCAAAAAGTTCCGTTCGTTTTCCCGAAAAACTTGCGTGGCTGCTACGACCGAGTTGCCATTGTTCTGTACAGTCGCACACGTAGTTTTCCCATTCCATGTGCTCACTTTTTCAACCACTGGTGCCTCCCTCCAATCTCCTCTCATTACGTACTTCAGAGTAAGCCTCAAGAGACCAGCAAGCTACAGTACTTCATTTCTATCCCCTCATCATTCCGACTACAGAAACAACGAAGCACTTTGTTGCAGAATGTTACTTCGAGGTGGTTGCCGATGTGGTAAGCTCGAGCAGTTTCTAACTGATCCTGGAACACTCGTGCTCTACAATGGCTACCGTATGTCTCTTGACTCATCATAACATCCTTGCTTCCCATCTCCTTCCTCAGAACGATACTTGGGCAAGGATCCGAAGATCTCCCGATTTCCGAAGAGAGTTTGGCGTTTCCTTGTTTACACGGTAGGTGCTGCAGACGCCAACATTCCCCTTCTGTATATTGAATCCAATGGAATTACCTAACATACATTGGCTCCTGGCTCCTGACCGACAAAAACAACAGAATGTTTGAATTTGCACCTGCTGTGTGGGGCAACTTCCCATGGGGCCGTGGTGTCAAGGAAGGAGAGAGTCCTATGCAAAACAAAGAGTTTATACCCTTTGCCATGAGATTTGTTGACATGTTTGATTTGGCCATCGATATGCTGGGCCCGGATGTGGATTGGGTGGAAGAGCAGCTTCAGCATCTAGGAGCCAAGCACACCAGCTATGGTCTCATGCCCAAGCACTACACATTGATGGGCCGTTCCTTGTTGGATACCTTGGAAGAGAAGCTGGGACATGCATTCACAGCTCGCCACAAGGAGTCATGGCACACCATCTACACCTTCATGTCGGTGAGCATGATGCAAGGTGCCTTTGCGGATCTCAAGGACACTGTCCACCAACACGAAACAACAATCAATGAAATGAAGAGATTTGATGGTCGAAAGGGAGCCAGCGTGGACGTTTAAATTGCGTGGAAGGATTGATATCGGCCCTCGCGGACGCAACATTGCTGCTCCTTTACACAGTTGTAATCATTATTTGAATTCATAAAACAAGAAGGCTATCTGTGGTTTGCGTTTCCACAGCTTGAGAAAGGTGAATTGGTTGTCTGCTGCTTTCTAGGCTAGCTAGCTAGCTAGTAGCTAGGCTGTGCCACGTTCTTTCGATGAAGGAAGACTGCACTTCTGCAATGGTAGAAGAGATCTATTTTGCACAGGGAAACCTTTCGGCGTAAAAACCGCTCCTCGGTTGAAGTGGATTGAATCTTTAAAATTGGTGATATATCTACTGGTTAGCTTGTGAAGTTATATGATCTTCTTGGCTGCTGGAAGCTGCTCACCAAAAGGAGGTGACATGATTTTGGAAGAAAATTTGTGACATCATGCAACCTTGCAAAACTGATGGTTCGTCAGTCTTCCCGCAACGTTTTTGATGGACGGGGTTTTGCTCCTCGACCTCAATCGCAGCGATTTGTCTATTGTTCCGTGGGTTCGTCGGCATCTGTCGTCACGATCGTATCTCGTTGACTGGGTTCATCAGCTTTTGTCGTAACAACTGTGTCTCTTGCGTTCGCTTTAACAGTCTCGGTCGAAGGACGTGCCTCTTGCTCGTCTGGCTCATTACCCTCTTTCGATTCGAGTGTATCTCGTTCGTTGGAATCTGTCGCAGAGAGTTTGTCTCTCAAGTTGAGTTCAACATCCCCTGCCGTGGGGAGTGCCTCTCTTTGGTTGGGTTCATCATCAACATCCGGATCTCTTTCGATGAAACCTGTCGTGACGAGTGTATCTCTTTGGATGGGTTCATCGGCATCTGTCCTAACGAGTTGATCTCTTTCCATGGGTTCGTCAGCATCTGTCGTAGCGAGGGTCTCTCTTTCGCTTGATTGTTGAGGATCTTCGTAAAAATCGACGTCTTCCTCTTCATCGTCGAGGTCACCATCGCCCTCTTCCCGTTCCACTTCTTGCGTGAGAAAATCTTGCATCTTTTTTATCTTCCTTGTGTTCAAGCAGAAGGTCAACAGGGAACTACCTACCGCACACACTCCCATGAAGAAGAAAGCGGGTCTGTAGTCCCCGTAGACAAAGAAGATCGAAAAGATGGCAGCACCAATGCTTCCACCGCTTCCAACAATCCCAACAACTGAACCTGTAGTTTGCAAACGCAACACAGCAATCAACCAATGTCAGATACAAGTGTTATAAGATTCGATTCACTGACGTTGCTGCCATGTCTGCTCCATACCTGTGAACCGTCGTTCTACATAAGGCACAATTCCAAATGTAGAACCTTCCGCACTTTGCACCATGCAAGAGAGAAAGACCAATACGATGATGGAGCCAGCGAGAGACTGTGCGTGCGCAAAGATGCATACCATCACGCCTTCGACAGCGAGAGTGAACACTTGCCAGGCAAGCCTGCCGCGTATTCCGGCCACTCTCTGCAGATAGTCAGAGCACCAGCCTCCAAGGCCACGAGCAAACAAATTCATCATCCCTTGGAGGAGAAAGAATGTGTATTGAACAAGATGTGAGACAAGGATTGGCTTGCGTCGTAGCTAGAAACTCTATTACAGCAAACACGTACCGAAAACTGACGAGATAGCAGCAGCTTGAACAGTGGACTGGCCAAACACGTCTTTGAAGTAGAGTGCTGTGGCATTGGTCATGGTGACTTCGATGCCGAAGCAACAGGCGTATTGGATGGCGAGAATCCACACGTTTTGCCCGCGCTTGGCGGTGGAACACAGGGATTCCATCGGAGTAGCCACCATCAATCGTTCACTCTTGATAAGCTCTCGGTAGTTACCCAATGGCGCATCGTCGCAGTAAAAAATGATGAGACACCCAATTACCAAAGCAAGAAGTGCCGGGAAAACAAAAATGGTACGCCATGCAAGTTCGGTGCTCCTCTTTTGATCGTTGTCGCTTGCAACGCCGTCAAACTCATCGTCAGCGCCACTGTAGATGAATTGAAGCAATGGGAAGAGCACGGATCCCATGAGTAACTGTGCCACACCGCCACCCAAGTTGCCCCATCTTCACGGAAAATCATTGTGTGAGCAGCTGGGTGAGCAGGATGCAATCAATCATCGTGTCACGGTTGTGCCTGTCGCACAATCTACTACTTCCACTTACCCAGCAGCAAGAGCGTTGGCTGCCCCCGCGACGTTTCGTGCAAACATGTCACTTGTCCAATACTGACATGCGACAAAGGAACTTCCTCCAAAGCCAATAAATAGTCGCACCAAGGACAGTCCAGCCGACGTTTGAACCAGCCCAGTCAAGGCGGTGGGAATCGCAGCTGCAATCAAAACTGTCGCCATACACAGTCGAGCACCAAAGGTGTCGCAAAGAGGACCCATGACGATGCGCATGACAATGGTCCCGAGGGTACCCATCAAACTGGAAGTCCAAATTTCTGCATCGGTTAGATCCAGGGTTGTCCTGACTTCACTCAAGAGCGGAGTGATGGAGAACCACAAGAAGAATGCCACAAAGAAGGAAAACCACGAGGCATGAAAGGCTCTCATGTGAGGTCTCTTGAAGCTGGACAACTTGATCTCGATTGCCTTGTCGTGTTGCTTGCGGTCGACATTAAGGCCATACGTAGATGTACTGGTGGACTTGCTGTCATCGCCCATGCGGCCATCCTCATCTTGATGACTACCCGTGCTGCTGATCTCGCTCTGCCGACTGCTGGAGAATCTGCTAAGAGAGTGCTTACTGGAGTGCCTGCTGGTCTTGGAGAGTCCATCCAAGTTTTCAATAATGACTTGATGACGGCCAGAACTCGCCGTAGACGACACGTTGATACTGGGGTTGCTAGTGCTGTCATGGTTGTTGTTGGTGTTGTTGCCTCCTCCTCGTTCCAGATCCACAACCACCTCTTCCTCCAAATCCAGAACAATAAACTGATCACTAATCTCGTCGTTCACGTCCGACATCATGGCAATAGATTGTTGTGACATTCCCAACGATTGGGATTCGTGTTCGTCTCGTACTTTTCGTTCGATTTTCCGCAATTCTCGTTCCATCTTTCGTTGTAATTCTTCCTCTTGATTCTCATTGTAGCGTTTCATGACGACGGGTTTGATTTGAAAGAGCCATAGTTCCTGTAGCCAGTGAAAGGGATCGAGGAGGCCACCCACGTTGCCACCCCGAAACTTGTCGCGTTGCAACCTGTCGGCGGCATTCTTCATGTCTTGCATGGAATATCCCGCTTGAAAGAGGCGGGCACACCGTTGTGTGGGGTTCAGTACCAACATGGCGACCTTGCGGCGTTGGGAGGGTGCCTTGATACCCGAATAAGGTTTGGATGCTTCATAGTAATCAATGGGAACTCGTCCTAGGTAGTATCCTTCTTCGTCTTCTTCGCAGTATTCCCAATCGAGCGATAAAGGAGGTCCGTAGCTGCAGCACGGATTGTCTCCAATGGTCGTTTTGTAGTTTCGGATACCCACGTGAGAAAATCGCACCCGACGTTTTCGGGTACGTGTTGGCGTTCGGTTGCTACTGACAGTTCGCTGATCGGAGGAGGGTGGATGTGGTGCTAATTGTCGCCGTCGCCAGGAGGAAACCGAGAACTGATTGTCATCTGACGAGTGATTCTTGCTGCTGGCGTGGCTTCCAGACGAAATGGCTTTGGAGACGGAATAAGCAATCTGACTAACAACTGTGGATTGTTTCTGTGGAGGAGTCGATTCTTCATCCGTAAGTTCCCGATCCGTAAGTTCCTGATCCCTTGCGGCTTGGTGTATTATTATCTCGGATGCGTCGGATGTAGACGTAAGTGGATCGATTGTGTCCGCAGCTGTAGCCTGAGCCTCCTCGAGATCAGATTCGAATGGATGTTCCTCAGGAATAATATTGGGTGCATTATCCGAGGTATCCTGCGGTTCGTGTCCGCTGCTGCTGGAGGCTAGCTGTTCCTGATCTGCTAATGCCTGTTCCGATGCTTCCATTCGGAGGGAATTAATCTGTCCAATAGGAATGGGACCCGTGATGGACAAGGTTGGTTTAACCTCTGGTTCAGCTTGGATCTGCTGTTTCTCCGCCTGTTTCTTCTCCGCCTCTTGATAGACAGCCATGTTCAGCGACAAGCGTTCCTCAGGAGGTTGGTGGTGGTTGTTATCAGCCGTAGTACCGGTAGTCTCCATGGCAGCCGCAAATTTGGACGTAGCAGCGGCTGGAAGTTTGAGAGCAGTAGCCAGAGCTTCAGGGTAGAGATCAGGCTCCGTCAACACGGTAGTCATAGCAGTGGAACGATCTTCACTGCCAGTGCTGTCGTTGCTGATAGAATGGGTAGAATGAGCAGATTTGAAGACAGAGAGAGATTCTTCTTCTTGTTGCAAGCTGTCGGCTGGAGGGGGAGGCATGCCGAGCAATCCACGTTGAGATAATGGATGTGTTGGGTAGCCTGCTTCCTTTTCTGCCTTGGGTAGCACTTGCTATCCTTTGCACTAAATTATTTCAAATCAACAACTAACTGTTGCTCTTATTCGAACTCACCGCTCAAGTAAGTCGCACTGTCCTTTTCAAATACACAGGACCACCGACCGACTTCACTAGCTAGAGCAGCTAGCTAGTCTACCCTTTGCTACCGTGTTCTACAGCAATGGCCAGACGAAAACCCATCAAGCGCAACAGTACATGTATGTATCGCGTACGAGTACCACTGGGTTGCTTCTTTTTGAGGCGTAGTGTGGATTAACACTCTCTGTTAGCTCTGCTCCGGTAGCTCGGCGGAGTTGCCACCCACCTACTGGTAGCAACGAAGAGGTGGCAGTTTTTCGCGAACCCAAGTCGAAAACTCACTCTCGCAATGCTCCGCAGTGTCCAGGTGGCAGTACTCGAGATCGTTAAATCAACCATCAAAATGCAAAGTTCTTTCCAAGCCACTGTTATTTTTCTGTTTAACCACCAACCTCGCAAAGATCACCGTGGATGCCCTTGTCTAGGATGTCTTCTTGTTGTCTCTTCAGGTGACAATAGCCAAACATAATGCTCCATAATGTTCACTGACTTCTTTGGTGTTCTGGGGTCAACTCAGATATACTGTAAGACACAGTTTAATCGTTAATAGCAAGCTGACGCCGTCCCTTGTCGCAAAATTTAATGTTGAAACAATCTGCCCCCGAGATGATCATAAAGCCGTGTGATTGGTGATTGGAGGGTTGGAGGTTGGAGGGCTGCTACGCTGCCACGATACTCGCTAGCTAGCTAGCTATAGCTACAGTAGAGCTAATCAGAGTGGCAACCTCTCAGGATGGAGGACTGCATTATGTAGAGACCAACTATGGTCAGATGAGCTACCAGATGGAGTAGGTACTGTAGTCTAGCTGCAATGATATAAGCGCGGCAAGCTAAAACTTTTCACCTTCGATCCATTGCCACTGGCTGACCACTGAAGCTCCACTGAGCACTGAGCGACAGCTACTCTGAGCACAGCGCTGGCTGTTGGAGCAGATTCTGAATGCTTCAACATGAGGAATATCCAGCTTCTTCTTCCCAAATTAGATGAAGATGTTTGTTACGTTGGGCAATTATTAGCAATCATTCCTAACATACATCTGCCCAAGCTTCTGCTGTTCTTGGGTACCGGTAAGGCGTACTGTACTCAGTACTGAGTAAGGGATCTGTCGGCTCTCTCACTCTTATCTGGCCTGTCTCTATCTCCGTCCAAGACTACATGTATGTATGTAAGCAACCACCAACAGCATGTCGAATGTCGAGGGAAAGAGCTGTAGAAGCAGCTCCAAACCCGCCGTACAGTACCGGTAGCTCTCAATTTCAGGTACGGTAGCGTCGAAAGTTCCACAGTGCACTAGTCTACATGCAGATCTAGCTACTAGCTAGTGCTAATCAGTATCTGTAAGTGTGGTACTACCTTACCGTACCATACAGGTGGCTTGAAGCACAGAATATTTGTTTTAAAAAGAAGGGGTTTCATGGTTTCATAACACTACTCAGAGTAGTTCGAAAGCATTACTATTACTAGTAATATACATGTAATACTGTGGACAAGGACAGCGACAGGATTTAAGCAGTACAATGGTAAAAGCAAGTTCAGTAGTCAGATTGTCAATTACTCTAGTACTTAGATATTTCTGACGCACGTCTTACTTGTACGGTAGTGACCCACCATAGCTCTTGAAAAGTACCGGTACGGCGTACCGTACGCATGATATTGGGCGGGATTCATACGAGAAAAGTAGACTACTAGTAGTCTAGCTAGATATAGTCTACATTCATTTTTGCTGCCGTTGTGAGCCAAGCAACTATCAATACGGACTTTATGGGGGGTTAGGCAGAGACGGGGGAGGGAAAAGAAAAAGAAGGGAGGGTTATCAGTTGGATTCCCGATTCGAATCAGAGAGCCAGGCAGCCACCCAACGAACCGTTGTAGGGTCATCAGATACTCTATATGAGGGGAGATTGCAGAAAAGAGGTCATTCCCCCCCATCCTCTATATAATTTTTGTCCGAAGAACAGACTTTACGTCACAAGTATGTGTAGGAAGTTCGTTGATGCGAATTCAAATTGATCCAACGGATATCTGACTCGCTTCCCAATCCTTGGCTCGCACCAAACCCTCCCATTTTTTTGAAAATTGGACCAAACACTCCCATTGCTGGTGCACTCCGGATCAATCTGCTGTTGTTGTTGAGTAAGAGAATGGTCGACAATGAGCATAGCTAGATCGGTGTTGTTACTATTATCTGTTGCTTGCTACTACTATTGTTATCTAACAGCGTCTTCATTATCCGATCCAACGTCGTCCTTCTCTCCTTCCACTACCAACCGACGCTCCTGAAGTCCACTACTACCGACGCTCAATCCACTTCCTCTACGGAACGTCCTCCACCGAACGTCGACCATGAGGATGGCAACTACTTCTCCCGCCTTCACCAAGTGGCTGCAAAGTGTCAACAGATACCCATTCAATGAGCTGAGGGTAACAAGGCAAGGATTCACTTGCAAGTATGTCATTTGTGGGTACAACAGTGATGAGGAGGACAACTTCTGTTTGGCCACAACCAGCATGGAAGTGACCGTTCTTGAGGAGTTGATATGCAAGGAGCATGCAAGCCACTTCCTCCTGCCATGACCGACAATCATGGATTAATGTTAGCTTCAGGCCTTCAGAAAAGTCCAAAATGGTACAGAGCTGTCATCTCCACCCTCTCTGAAATGCTGGAGTCGCCGTCGCCACATCCCTGTGAAAGGAAGGACATCTTCATTGAGTGCATCTATTGGTTAGTGAGGGAAAGGATCAGTGAGAGCTATGAGTTGTCCTCCCTCGAAGGACAGAGTGTGATGGATGCTTGGCATTATTATTGTTGCCACTGGTATGACTACAAGAAGAACATTTACAAGAAGAATATTTCCTTCCAGGAATTGGCTGAGATGAGTGAGACTATGGTTGTTGATTTCATTGGCATTGACTCAGATGAAGAGTGAGACTATGGTTGATGATTTCATTGGCAAAGTTACTGAATTGAAATGTAAGTTAACATAATCCTAGAGGATTAACAATGATGGCCAACATTTTGTACCCATTCTGGCTGAACCCCTTATCAACTGTATTGAGAAACCGGGGCAATAGGGCGTTCCAGTGGGTGGGGTTCTCCCTTCTCCTGCGAAGGTCAAAAACCAACTGGGCAGTATCTTTCTGAACAACAGCCATTCGTGGAGAGGTTGGGGGCTGGGAAAAAAGAGACTGGCAGTATTGGTTTGGAATTGCTGCTTTGCATTTTAAGGCAAGTTTGCATCATTTGAATCTGGTGTTTTTGCTGATATAGAATCAGGTTACCAATGTAAGTATTTCTTGTTTGTGCTACAGGGGGAGCTGCTTGTGGAGGTGTTTGGGGTGGTGGAGGTGGAGCTGTGGAAAACCGGTGTGGGTTGTGGTTATGTGGTTTGTGGAACTTGTTGTGGTTGAGGTTGTGGAACCGGTTGTGGTTGTGAAGCTTCAACTGGACTGGTGCACAATCTACACAAGCAACAATCATTTGGTGAGTACTTCTGCCTGTGAGGTTTGAATCCAACAATGTACTCTGAAAAGAATCTTTCTCCATTATCCTCTGGCAGTGGTTCTGCATTTGGAAATGGTGCATCCAGGACCAATAGCCTCTGCCATGTCATTGAGGTAAGCCAATTCTGAATGGTTCCAGTAAGGAACAACCTTCTCCCATCCAGCTGGAATTGACTTCCTTTCTGCCAGACTGATTCTTGACAGGAAGGCTCTCTTGTGTCGAATCTTGAGGTTGTATCTTGCAGTTCCAGCCAGGTTGAGTGCATCAGCAAGGCTTCTCCTCATTCCACCATTGCCAAAGTGGGCAAACTTGTCATGGAAAGCCTCTAACTTTGACTCTCCTCTCCTTGATAGGTACTCTGGAAGCTTGTGCTTGGAGTTGGGAGAAGGTTGGATTGTGTCATACATTTGCTCCATTGGTAGTGGATCAGCCAAGTGAATGGCTTTCTCAATGCAGTTGTCTACTGCTGGCTTGGTGTCTGGAGTGAACAAGGTAAATTTCTTGACAGGATCCAGTCTTCCTTGGCCAGGTTGGCTGCCCTCACTGGCTGTCACCTTGTACCTGCAGAACCACTGTTGAATCTTCTGCCTCATTGTTTCAGGTTCTCTCATCCTCTTCCTTAGGTACTTGGAGTATCTGTTACTGAAGACCCTTGATGATTGCAGTCTGAGATCTCCACCATGGAATAGTGTTTGCCATCAGCTGATAGGAGACCATGTTTCAGAGCATAGAGAACCTTCTCATAGTCCTCAGGTAAGTACTCATAGAGGCAATCCAAGAGAGCATTCAAAGCTTCGAAGTAGTCAATGTGACCCTTCCTCAAAGTTGACAGAATCCTTTTCTCATAATGGAACAGGCCAAGTCTTCCCTCGATACCTGGAAAGAGTATCTCCCAATAGTCATCCTTGTTGGGCCAGGTGTCACTGTACATGGCAGCTGGATTGAAGTTGCTCCTCCTTGCTAGCTGCATGGCTGCATGGGAGAAGTGGATGGTCTTGGTGGTGGGAACAAGAACAGCAGAGGCAATCTCACCAGTCTCTGTGGCAGCATCCCAAACAGCGACTGCTCCAACCTCTCTCTTCATGTAGTTCTTGACTGGCTGGAAGGTATGGTCTTGGCAGAAGATACCCTTGTTGCAACTGACACTTTGAATCTCTCTAGTGTGCCTCGTGTTGTCGCTGATCCTCCATGGGTTCCTGTTGGACGCAGCAGCCTTATCGAACAAGTCACGGATTGTGTCACCAAGAGGAGGGTATTGCTTGATGTAAGTCCCATCCTTTGGAAGGAAGGGTGGAGGATCCTTCTCACTTCCTTGCCAGTAAGAGAAGTAGGACATGATTGCTCTGACATACTCTCTGTTGATTGCATTGTAGAGGAGCCGACTGCAGAGGTCACCATTTCCATAGGTAACAATTATAGAATCGAACACCTCAGTTGCTGTTCTCTCTAGGTGATAGTCCTTCTTAGCAAAGGCATACTTAGAGTCGACTGGATACAGCAAGGAAGCATGCTCTGGGATAGACAGCAGAACCTCTGCTTGGTTGGAATCAAATCTCCTCTTGCAGCAGCTGCAGACCATGGACATGACCATGCACCAAGATGGAGGTCCAGCAATGCCAAAGATGGGAAACAGAGTCTTGTTCCTGGACCAGTGGCTTCTGTCATTGTCGAGTTTGCCAGAGCATCTTCCATCCGGACAAGGTACAGCAATGCCACATCGATTCCAGTCCACTAGGAGGAGTTTCTGCCCAACAATTGAGTGATAGTGGGGAGACTCGAATTGATCCTTTGTGGCTGGGACTGTCATGGTGAGTCCTTGGAAGTGTTGATTGAAAAGCTCCTTGTTCTTGGATCTGGTGATCGACTCAGACACTGCTTCTGCCATAGCTATCATTGCCAGTGGTGCTATTTTGTTCTTGTGCTTTTCCACAAAGGTGGAATCCTCAACCAGAGCTGTGACTTTCTCGCAGAACACAGCTGGAGTGGCCATTACCTTGTTCTTGCTTTGAGTTGCTGTGGCTTTGGCTGTGTTGGTTCTAGGAGCAAAGAATGCTTCTCCATTTTCTCTTGTGGAGTGCCTCCAGCTTCCTCTCTCATTCAGTGGAAGAGGAGCACTGAATTGCCTTGTGAGTCTCTGCTTTCTTTGATTGTCTCATTGTCAGCGCATTCAAAGGTCCTTCCTTTGTTATGTATTCTTAATACAGAAGACAGAGTGTGATCTCTTGGGGACTCTGAGACCAAGATGTCTGGCCTTACAGATGACACAGTTCTTGAGTGGATCAAAGACTTCTGCTATCCCTCCTTCCAGTGCTGTTTGCGGTCCTTCTTCTCTCGCTCTCTTTGATGATCTTGGTTGTTGTTGTTGGCGAGTTGGAATGCTCTCTTCTGTTGTGGATTTCGATTCTGACTCTGGCAGCCCATCCCTTCATTTTGTGTTGTTGTTGCTGCTGCTGCTGTTGGTGGCTCCATGATGCTGTCTTCTGCTGCTGCTGTTGGTGGCTTTTTGGCCAAGATAATGACTGAATCGAGTGGCTCTCCGGTGGTTGTTGTCATTGTGGATCGATCGAACGATCTGCTTCAACGGAATCCTTCTTTCGCGAAAACAGAAACAAGAAGATACGTAATTGATAGCTCACTTGCCCTGTAATCTTTATAAACGGTACGTTAAGTATATTTGAATCTTTTGCGACATACTTCCTGACGTATTAGCTTGACTAACCAATCATATCACTGCCTTTCACCCCTTTTCGGCCCACTATCATAGTGGTTGGATTCCACTTCCCCGCATGCGCATCAGCATTCGGAAGACAGCGGACCACTGGAGACCCGAGATGATAAGCTCCACGATCGACCAGTTCAGCCTTCAATTTTGCTGCCATCTGCCATCCCTCTCACTAGTTTCCATCCTCGGTGCACTCTTCCCTTACTCTCACACTCTCACAAAGATGTGCATCAGGATCTCCCAGACCACAGTACAGTACATCGTACGCTTTCTACAGCGAAGTGCCAAAGGACCCCCAACACCAAGCTGCACCTAACATTGGTTATGAACCTGCTGTGTGCTGCGCATTGCGCATGCCAGGATGCCAGTGGATGATGAGGTTGGAGTACAGTAACCGATCTCGTTGCGTGAGGTCTCACCACCCACTACTCCAGTACTCCGAGTATTAGTGTTAATAATAGCTGGCTAGCTGCATGTACTGTACTGTAGCTCTTGGCTCTTGGTACTGTATTCTGACTCACTCTGAGTATACTGCACGCTGTCCCCCTAAATCACATCTTGCTGGATATTGAGTCATTGAGTCACCTCCAAAGCGGACTTAAAACCTAAAAACTGAGCTACGAACAGACGTGATGTCCTGCTGGGACGTTGTGAAGGAACTCTGAACCGGTACGCGATCTAGTAGGAAGTGAATGGTGAAAACGAAAAATCCTAGGGTGTACCATCCCCTTCCTCTGTCTCACAAAAATACATCCCTCTACCATACCTACCTGCATCTCTTCCTGCCTTACTTCTGCATTCTCTGTTGAAACAATGTCGCTAAGAAATCGAAATGTGGCTACCTTGGAGGGATTCGTCGGTGACAACTACTTCGACTTGGTGACGGACGTGGTGAGTTGATTTTATGGTTTCTTCTCTATACAGAAGGCATCTTCACTCAAACTAACCCTCTCATTGATCTCGTTTGGATCCTATTTCTTTCTCAAACGGCAGAGTGAGACATGGGAGCGAATCAAGCAGTCGCCACACTACAAGGAAGACTTTGGTGTGGCTCTCTTCACAAGGTACGTGGGATCCCGTTGCTATTTTGTACAAACTTGCCGCTCCTGATCTCACATGCCCTCATCTTTTGCTTCCTCGTGTCTCTTGGTATTAGAATGTTTGAGGCAGCACCAGATATGTGGGTGCACTTTCCCTGGGGACTGGAGGGGCACAATCATCATCTCTTGGAGAGTCCACATCTTGCCGCCGTGGCCAGGCAATTCACCAAGATGCTAGATCGTGCCATTGAAATGCTGGGCCCTGATTTGCAGTTGGTGGAGAACCAGCTTCAATGGCTGGGAGTATCGCATGCCTATCTTGGCCTGACGCCCGTCCACTACACATTGATTGGACAGGCCCTCATGGCAACATTAGAATCCAAATTGGGTGCTGGGAGTGGCCACCCTCGCAAGTTTACACGCAGGCACAAGGACTCCTGGAATACAATCTATTCCTTCATCTCTACGAGTATGATCCAAGGAGCTTTCTTGGATCTAAAGCGTGTTTCTTCTGTTTCGAAGATAGGCACTCACTAATGAATGCTTTTAACCTGGAGCTTTTCAAAAGCTCATGGTTGTCCGATATCAATACAAGATCCAACGATACCAGCAATGTATACATAATGCATATATGTTTATGCAAGCTAGAAACTTGACCCGAGCTTGTTCACTTGGTTATTTGCTGGCTACTGTAGCAGTGTTGTCATGGCAACAATGGGTGACGCAAATTCTTCCTGTGATTTAGCTTCTCATTCTTCTGTCGTCGTTTCGCTCTCCCACAATTGCAAATGAGTATCGGCAATCGCATAGTCCCCATTGGGCAAGAACCGATAATCTTCGATCACTGCCTTTTGGTTATTATTGGTATTCTTGGTAGCCACCACGGTATAGTGTCGTCCCGTGGCGGCCGTCCACACCACCTTGTCAAAGAGCCCGTGGAGGGCGGGTTGAATTGTGGTGGCAAATCCATCGGCATATTCATCCAAATGCGGCTCTGTGGCCCTTAACAGGGAAAACAAGAGTGGATTGTTGCGTTGGGCGGCATATGCCGGCGCCGAAAAGTCCATTTCTCCCATCCAGAGCTGTCCTCCATTGGGTTTGAGAATGCGATGGGCTTCGGTCATCATTTGGACCGCTACATCCAGGGGCAATTCGTGCAAGACAAAGAGGATTTGCACGATATCGACCGAATCCGAGGGAATTCCCGTGTCGGCGGCATCGGCCACTTGCAACTGCACCTTGCGTTTCATGTCATTGTCAATGGGATTGACCCAAGTTGGTTTTGTTGTAGTTGTAGTGGTGGTATCGTCGGTTGTCATTTTGGGAAAGGGTCCCAGATCGAGCAATGTTTGGCCCACGGAAATGTAATAGGGTGACAAATCGATGCCAATGACCTTGTCAATAGTTTGTCGTTGTTGCGTTTGTGTTTGTTGTTGAGTGGGAAATGGCGTGATGGCAAGGAGTCGACTGCTCAATCCCGTGCCACATCCCATATCTACCGCCACGACGTTTTCCCGTGCCGGCACTGTGGCTCCGGCTTGAATCAAGCCATTGGTGAATCCTCGACGAAACAGAGTTTCCCCATCTTGTCGACCTGAAGGAAAGTTGCGTGCTCCCACGGCGGCAGAGGCAATTTCCTGTTCCATGGCAGCCTCCCAACACAGATTGCCCTTGTCGTACGCATGAAACACACCGTCTCGATAGTACCGTGGGATTTTTAGTTCTGTAGTGGCATCATAATGTAGTGGTGTTTCTTGAATATCAATTTGACTTTGAATCCATTCCTTGGCTCTGGTCCAGTCAATGCCATTGGCGTGGGCCGTCTTGATCATGGTATTCCGAGCTTGTGGCACCAAGAGATACTTCCACAAGGGAGTCGCCAATGCAAAATTCAACAAAGCCTGACCCACGCCTGTGCGAGGAGCATAATCGCCGGTACTGGTAGATGGTGTTGCTGTGGTTGCATCATCTTGGTTGGCCGTGGGAGTTGCCTGAAGCAGCTGTCTCGGTCGGTTGATCAAAATAGCACTAGAGGAGGGCGTGACAAACGAAGACACAGAACTTGCATAGCACAAGGCAAGAGCCAACAAACAAAATCTTCTCAGGATCATCTTTCTTTGGATAAAGGAGAGGAAAGAAGAGAGCATGGATGGCAGGTTGTGGTTGTGTGCTGTGGTGGTGACAATTGGGTTCTCGATGTTTTGTTGGATTTGGATATTTCTTGGATAACTTTCACATCGGTTCAGAGGGGACCTTAAGCGTCAGCCTCGCCCTGCCGGGGTGCGCTAACATATAGGTCAACATTAATATATTCATGCTATAGATATTTTATGTTCCGAAACAAATCAGTGCAGCCGCAACACAATCGACTGCCACCATGACGTCGAGCCGTCGTCTTGGAAGGATAACACGCAAGATAACAGGCTTGATATTACGTCCTGCTGCTACTATCTGCAACCATGCGCATCAGCCAAGCTTCTTGCTCCGTCCTGTGAGCTGCGAGAAGTTCTGATATTCATCGGCGGACGAAGAATCATTGTCGCTGGGTGGCTTTTGCGGTCTCCTTTGTCGGCGACGGGGCGGAGCCATTTGCTCTAGAGACGAGTCATCAGAGTCGGTGTCGTCATCGGACAATGATCTGTTGCGCACTCTTTCGCGGCCAGCGGCTGATGGTGCTGGAGTGCGTCGCCTCGGCGGTTCTTGTTGTTGCTGTTGCATCGGAGGAGGCTGTTGCCTTGGAGGCTGTTGCCTCGGAGGCTGTTGTCGTGGCGGCCGGTTGTTTGCTGCATGCTCGATGCGGCGAATTGGGCGCTCGCGAATATAAAACTGAGAGCCGCCTCCGCTAAACATCACATGCAGAGTGTGATTTCCGCGGAGAGTTTTGAATTTGAGGTCTCCGTTTGATGCAGTTTCCATTGTTGCATTGATCTCTTCGAGGCAAATTGGCAGAGCATTTGGGATGACTCGATTGCCCTGCAGGCATGCAAACATATCTACATCACACTCTCTGTCATGGCATCGCTGAATTCCATGCTGAATTCCTTTGACAATCGAGCTGATAGTAGCATTGCTTACCGGTTCCGTCGCTCCTGATCTTCTTGAAAAGAATGCAATCTTTATTTCGTCATTGCAGAGTGATGACATGGTCGCTTTTCCTTGAATAATGACAAATACCGGATCGAGGTAAGCATTGTTGTGTGTGCCAAAGTGATGCTCCCGCTCGCTGCAGCACTCATACCCGCCGAAATATTGTTCTCTTCTCCGTTGGCGGCGTCGAACCGAGTGCGGGAGAATCTTCTTTGGCGCGGATGTCTGGTTAGAGAGTGTGTCATTTTGTGTGTTTGTTGTCTTGGAAAATTCGCTTGGCGCGGAGGGCTTGTTGTCTTGGGCATTGCGCATTCGTTGATGACAGAACGATCGCCTCACAACTAACTTTGGTTTGTGTTTGCTTGTGCAAAATGGATGTATCTAGCCACGGTATCATCGCAAGCAGCGGGTACGAGACTGTTGTTGAGCTTAATGTGTTCGAAGATTTAGATCAGATGGGCGAGACAAGACATGTGGCTATTGGATTTGAAACCTATGACGGCACCATCCGCGATTATCGTGGTGCTGCATCGTTTGATCGTTTCCCTGGAACTCCATCATACCGATTTCTTATCCAAGGTGTCAAGGTAGAAAGGAATGGTGATGGGACTCTCCCGAATGATGCCGACATATTGCAAGGGGTCAGTGAATCGATGGAGCTCCGACTCACAAGCCGTTTCGAGGGGTACGTCAAGAGCCACAAGATCAAAGGTAAAGAAACATCCGGACGAATCATTCGGATGAGGTTCCTTCGCTCGGAAGATGAGCAGCATGCTGATGCGATAAGGCAAATTGACGTGATCGTGTCGAAGTCTTCGACACAGGACAAAGGGAAGCTCCTCGAGCTCGCAGTTGATCAAGCATCCGCCCTTGTGCTTGCCAACATCGCTGAACGAAAGTTGAAGGAGGAAGAGGCAAAGCAGTTGGCTTACGGTGCCTAGAGTCGAACCACCGCTGACAATCCACAAAGCTGTCATGATATCTATTGCCGTGCCGATCCAACCTCAAAACAGAACTAGCACAGTATCGTCTAGCATCCTCTATTAAGCTAGATTAGTCTTGTTCTATAGTACTATTCGGTCTCCATGATGACACTCTTATGCCTCGATCGATAGAGCAGCAGTGGCGGTTACGTGCTTGCTGCATCAGTAGCTAGCTAGCTAGACAACCGGTGTTTGTTTGCATAGCTGGTTGCCTGCAGAACTCGATTTCACGGATTCTCGCTCCAAATCCAAGGTAGTTACCTTGACCGACGAAATCGGTGTAGTGTTTAACGTGTACTTTTAACTCAATACCAACTTCTTGTTTACCAAAGGTGCATTGTTTAACATCACGTTTTTGCTCATTTTTCGCGATTAAAAGATTTTGGCTGTGGTCGGAAGATCCTCCGGATCGAACCAATACCACTTTTCGAACAGCATTCAGTCGATCGGAACCAAGCCACATTGCCTCTCCTCTGTCCAACCTCTGATGCCCATAAAACCAATCTATTCAATCGAGAGGCAGGACTTAGTTTGCTACAGCTTGTAGTGCAGTAGTGCAAGATCCTGATATAAAGTAATCAAGCGATGGAAAACCAAAATTTCGGAATGATGATCTCGACAAAACCCGAGGAGCATTCTTTTGTCGCATTCAAATCCCGTCCAATCATCAAGGCCATGATGTCTCTCTGTTGTGCTGGGCACAGAGTTGTGTCACGATGGTGGCAACCCGTCGAAGTGCTCGCCGGACAAAGAGCAGCATTGAATTGCGAAATATCTTTGAAACTGGTCCGGTTCCACCGACCGAAGCTGAGAGCATCAACAACGACAGTGAAACCACGAACAATGACAGTGAAATCATCAACAACGACAGCGATTCGAGCGATGAAGGAGACTTTTCTGAGACAGCTTTTCTGTCAGCATTGGAGGAAACGATTGGATGCCGACCAAGGAAGAAAACTCCCATCTTTGAATTTATTTGTTCTGGCAATGCAACACATTCTGAAGGTTGGCTTCGTGCCGAGTTGATGAAGACAAATCCAATCAAAATTGCAGACAATGAGAAGAGGATCATGCTGTTTATTTTCATGAGCCTTTCTGGAGGTGGTTGGCGGCCTGGCATGGATGGCTATTCTCCAACAGAGCTCCTCTCTATTGCTTGGGGTGTGTCCAAACCTGCCATTCGAAGAGCGTGTCTTGCATCGGTGGACGAAACATTTCTCCCTTGGATCACCTGTACTGATAGCAATGATACAGAAAGCTCTGCCAGCGATGAAGTCAACAAAAAGCGACCCATTCAACCAGGAATCCCATCAGAACAATCCACAACTGCAGATGCCGACTTTGCATTCTCGCCTGCTCTAGTCAACAGAGAGCCAAAGCGTCGGGATCTCAAGGAAACTCCTGTGGTAGAAGATGATGATTTTGCATCCCCTATCAGCACGTTATCACTAGTTGCAAGTGTCAGCTCTCCTGGTAGTGTGGTGGAGGTTGAAGACCCCGCCCTTTTCTCCCCACGGAATGAAACCAATCGAAACGATTGGCGGCAGCATACCCATCCACATCACCATGGGACACGGCTTGATTTCAATCGAGCCGACAAGAAGGATGCATCGGCTCAGACTGAAGATCCAGTTGCATTGTTGAGCAATGATGATTCAATACTAGATGCGAGTACTCAGACTGATATTGCGGGTCGCCTTGCTGCCGAAATGCAGTTTGATGATGGTATCAACAGGTGCAGCGAGGAGGAAATCAGTCGGGCCCTTTATGTGCTATTCAGGAAGAGTAGAGAGTCTGTCTCTCATCGTGTCGATACCAATGACGATGATGACGACGACGATGCCAATGACGAAAACGACAACAACAGGGATGGCACACGAATCAGCAAAGCTTCCCTGTCTGCAGCCTCGGAGATTATTACTCTGAGGCCCTTCCGAAATGGAAGCCCTCTTACTATTATGAGAATTAAAGAGACAAGACATGGAAATGGCGACAAAAAGGGAAGGAAACGTCGTGCGAAAGGGCATCTAGTTGAGGCCTTGCTTTCGCATCTTGGCCTCTCAGCAGATCAAACGTTTGTGCTGCTTCGGAGCATCGCCACAAGACGAGGACTTTGATTAATGAAACCAAACGATTGTGGACTGACCATTGCGCAATGTGCCATGTTGATGCTTTATCTTCCTGTCACAGCAAGAGGGCTCGAACGTTTGCAGAGAGTTGTGAAGTGGGCTCTACCAAGCAGCATTGGGCCAACGTTTATGCCACCTTTACTACGAAAGAGTATTGCTAAGTATTCCATCAGTACGTTCGATTTGAAGCTTGGGTTTGAGCTTGTTTCACTCGAAATTGGTGGATCAACACGAAATCAACGATGCCTGCACGTATGGATAAGACAGCCTGCAGTTGCCGTCCAGCGTCTTGTCCAGAGTGCATTAGTAGCTGGAAAGCTACAAGACTCCTTTGAATTTTCTAACCACAGAAATGAGCTTGTTGTCATCCAAGGCTCCGATCGAGGAGGTGACATCACAGCCAATCTTATCAGAATTGGCAACCGATCCAGTGGCAATGCCTCGCAACACTGTCTACCACTTTCTTTTTACGAGTTTGGCAAGGAGAGCTATTATAATTTGCAACAGACTATATTCCACCAACACAAACCAACTCGCGAATTCCTGCAGCGTCTGCTGGAAAAGGAATTCCACATTGTGATTGTGACAATCTGCGACAATAACAATGCTGTTGTTGATGCTCAATGCACAATGCTTCGATTTATATTTCCCGGAAGAATTTCTGGTGGCCGTCGCATTTCTTTGGTTCGACACAATGAAGACGAGAGTGCTTCTGTTGTTGTTGCTGACATGAGAGAAGAGAGAGAACAGCCGCGACCGGTGTGTCTCATCGATCCAAGCGAAGAGTTACAGTTGGAAGCAAGCCACGATCTTACTTGCCTCTCCGTCCAAATGATTGTTTCAGTGGACGATGAGAATGAAATCGCCTACAAAGGCTTTGCCTTGCGAAACTGTTTTGGAAGGCTGCTTTGCGTAGAATTCTTCCCGGAGGATCTCTTAGTTGGTGCAGACAATGGGACTGTAAGCTTCGAATGCCTCCAGGTTCGCGGCTTTACTTCAGATGACATCAAGTGTAATGCAACGCTCATGGGACAGGGCACTGCGTCGGTCATGTGCCCGTGCACAATATGCATTGCTCCGAAGAAAGACTTTGCTTCCTACCTCTTGAAGCCTCCACAACAACAAGCTCCCAACAGAGAGGGTAATTTTGCCAATCCCAAATTGTACAAGGCTTTCTTAGCCGATGCTAAAGGACGAGCAGAATGGGTCAGGATCAATTCAACAGGGCAGGCAAAGTTGCTCAAAACAAAGTATCGAAGCGTGGTGTACGAGCCACTGCTCTACACACCACCTGACTTGAATACGTGTTCCGGAATGCATGTTTCTAGTGGGCTGCTCACGCATTGCACAGTTCGCGTCCTCGAGTATTTGGGTGAAATCGACAAGCTAACAAACTGGCTTGATCATCTGCGAATTCAGCTGAACGAAGCAAAGCAATATATGGTCGCGGCAAAGTCGACTGCGGAGGCTTTTCGAAAGCAAGACATGCAGTTTGTGCGAGACATTAAGGCAGCAAGAGCAATGAAGTCTACACAACAGGTTCGACAGCTAGAAGACGAACGTGAAAAGATTGCCGCGATGCTGATGGCCACAACAAAGGCACGAGACTCGGCCAAACTCTTCGTGGAGAAAGGAAATGAGTTCTTAGAAGGCGTAGCCAAGAAGACAAAGGCGCGAATTATGGGGCCTGCAACATATTGCTTTCGCAAAGCCTATGAGGTTGACGGACGTGTTGCTTTTCGGGTTGAAAATAGTGGCTTTGAGCTCTCCAATGGTGACGGCATCCGTGTGCTTGAGCGCTGTGATAAGGTGGTTGAGAGGATGGGAAGAGTATTTCAAGGCAACGACAATCCACAATTACAGCAACCAGTGGACACTTTGATGGCAAAGTATCTGGCGATGGCAAAGCTGCTCTATCGAATGGCGGTGATGATGAAGAGTCAACGGAAGTGGGAAGCAGCTACGTGTGATGAATTTGAAGGGGCAGCACAGAGCTATGCGTCTCTCTGGCTTTCCTTTATTGGAGGAGACGATGCAGATACTAGCCCTGCTATATTCAACAAACTGCATGTTCTGGTATCACACATCCCCCAGTTTGCCAGGAAACATGGGATGCTAGGAAGGTGTTCGGAAGAGGGGTTTGAGTCTTCACACAAATGCATCGAATCAGTCCGAAAGCCACTCAGCTGCATGACCTCTACAGAAGACAGAGCGCACACCATCTACCGCAGGATAATGCTTCAGTCAAGGCCAGAGATTGAACGGACGTTCGAAAGTATCAACAACCATTTCACCAAAGGAAAAAGAGGGCCATATAACAAAGATCCCACCAAAATGAAGACTGCGGATTCGACATCTGCAGCCAAAGTTTTCGGTTGCAGTCCGCTGCCAGAAGGATTCGTCCAGTCTATCAATGGCTATGTCATCAAGGAGGCTTGGAAAGACTATTTCGAGTATGTATGTTTCAGCAAAGTGCCATCGTCCTGGACCAAAGTATTCTCGGAAGACACATCATTGGGAGAGGGTTGCCGGACGAAACTCGAGTATATCTAGCTAGGAAAAATGTAAGAAACTGACTAATATCATGATATCACCCCATCAAAAATGATACCCAATGCCTATGAAAGCGTGTAAACAAGCAGGCGTCCATTGGGCAGCACTGTTGAAGAGATCTTGTAGTGATATCGACCATCGTTCCGAGGCAAGCACCAATTTGGTCGAAATTGGGCTCATTGCAGCACTATTTGCTCGCCAAATCAAGCAATCGAAGCACCGCCACTTACCGGCTAGTCTCTATAGTGCTTCTAGTGGAATCTAACAGCCCAAACAAGGTAGATAACAGCATCGATACAGCGGCAACAGCGCCATTGTCCATGTTTTTGGCCTCGGAACGATGGACTTGGTTGATAATAATAATATTGCAGAACGAGCCGGCCAGCTAATGTCCCTGTCACGCACTCCTGAACCGATGTGCTTTTGGATGCAGAAGATCACGTGATTGGATGAGTCATCAGTTAACTTGAAGTTTGGAGCCGAGATCGACTTGGTTCTGTTTTCTGGAATGCATTGTCTGTGGTGCCGAGGGTCCAGGAGGTGCGGGGCAAAGGTTTTAAGGTCCAGATGAGGGCAGGGTACCGGTGCCTGGTACAGGTCTTGGAGTTGGTCGGGTACGTCCCGTACCGTAGTAGCACCATATGCATGCCGCACGAAGGCAGAGGATTATCATGGCAAAGAGAGATCGCTGGACTACTGCAAACGAGGAAAAGAAGGCAGGATAAACGAGATGACTGTCACTCAACAGTTAGCTATTTTCGTAGGCCTCTGCAGAACTTCAGCTTTATCTAGAAATCAGGATCCACGCAAAAGCTGGATCCAATCGGGGTCACAAGCAAAGCCCCTTGCTTCAGCCAGTTCTTCTTCCGTGACATCCAGCCAGAGTGAGCACAGAGCGGCTAGCAAAGACAACCAGGAGACGGTGAAAATGCAAGGATTTGCCTGAATCGGGGTACCAGTACGTCCACTTCTATGTATAGTAAGGAAGAACCGAAAACTCCTTTGGCTCGTAAGCCGGAGCAGGGATCATGCATCGTTCTTGAAGCGGAACTACCTAGCTAGTAGTGGCCACATGCTTGCCTGTTTGTTGGGAGTACATCGAGGTTGGTAGTCCTAATCCCGGCATCAATGCTTGGGCAAACCTACCAGTACCTTTGGATCTCCTTTGCCATGCAGCTTGCCCACAACACGGACGGGATCCAATAGTAAGAGCAAACGCGCTCGATGGAAGCAAAGCAAACAGCTGTTTTGCCTCAAGCTATGCTTGCTCGCTTCGAGGCTATGCTTGCTCGCTAAATTTATCGAATTTACAACCATTGCGTCAAATGCGACATTTTAGTGACAGATTAATTTTTTACTTAAGGGACCTGTTTGCGGCAGCCTTTAAATCGGTCGATTTTTCACCAAACCGAGCCCTGTTTGGTGAAAACAGAACCGGAAGCATCCAGTCGTGCAACGTCTTTTTGGCTTGGCTGGAGTGACAATGTCACACTTTCGTGTCCGATCCCTTAAGTCGACGTCACTTGAGGAAAAACACCACTTGCTTTGCTTCCATCGAGTGTGCTTGCTCTAATCGTCGTCACTAATTAGGCGATTGATCCGATTTGATCGTTCCGTGTATCGGAAGCATGTATGGATCTGACATGGCACTGTCCCAGTGAGGGCAGCGTGAGACTTGCATCATTCCCACCTCCCGCCAAAAGGAGGAGCAGTCCGAGCCTCACGATCCAACGAGCATTTTTGGGACTATTTTGGCGGTCTTTTGTGACGTCTTCTTCTTGCGATGTTTCGCACATACGAGAATATTGCCATGCCAGTCGTCCCTCCACAGCAACCATCTTTATCGTAAGACCATCTTGCCTGCTTGCCGATACCCAAGCAGAACCCTTAGGATAACCTTTGACAGCAATGGATCCTTGCTGTGCTTCTCATAAAAAGCGAATCTTATCGATCTGAACAATAAGCAACAACAACAGGCAGCAACAACAAGCAGCAACAAGCAACTCCAAACAACAACTAACTATGCGCCTTATCTACACACCGATCCTTCTTCTCTGCCCTATACTTGGGGCCCATGCTCGAGTGGGCTCAACGCGCTTTCTACAGAATGCCACTGCCGCTCCCAGTGATGCCACTGCCGCTCCCAGCTCATCAGAACCCCTTTGTACGCCCGGCTTTTCCTGCTGGGAAAATGAAGCTGGCCTTCTCTGGGCAAAGTATGATGGTGAAGCCGGTGGCATGGACTGTAATGAAGTGTGCTTCACTGCTTTTTCTGGCAACCCGATGTTTCACACTTGCAAGGAGGGAGTTCCCGCACCAAACACTGTCAATGGTCTTTCTTCAGTGGCGACAGGCCTGGGCTTTGACTGCACAGGTAACCCAAACAAACCGAATCAATGCTGGGGAGGCATGTCCCCGCCGACCCTCAATGGAACCATCCTCGTTTCTGCGAGCGACCAAACATCCAAGAACTGCTACACACCCACAGAAGGTACAATCAGCTGTAATCAAGTGGTGGATGGAGCCAATTGCTATGGCGAGCTCTTCTCTTCTGTTTGTCCCTGCATGGCCGAGGAACTTTCCACAATCACAGAATCTAAAAAGTGGCGTTTGTACACTCACGGGGACTGGCCCAAGACCCAAGAAAATAATGGATGGCAGTGGGACCTTGACTCCATCTTCTTTTACTCGTCCCCTGACTGCAATGGTACAGCGCTGTATACAAGCGATGGGACAACCATTACCGATTCGGGCAATGCTGGCAGCGAGTTTTGGGGGGCCGAAAGGGCCTTTGGTCAAACTGGTGGCAAGTGGGGAGGCCGGTAAGTTGATGAACTTGTGCATCACAAAAACGACAGCACACCACTCACAAATTGATTTTATTCCTGGATCTCTTTCAGTTGGGACAATAATGTGGACAAGAATTTGTGGATTGCCATTGAGTTCCCCATGCCTGTGACTGTGGGATGCATCCAGTTTAATCAATTCGACAATTACGCCACATACATTGCAGTGGAGGCAGTGGCTGCTGGCAGCACAACTTGGGAGAGTGTCACATTTGTGACAGATGGCCAAAACAACAGAAACACCATTCAAATTTAGGATCCTATTGATTCGTTACTGCGCCTTGTTTGGGGCTGTCCCAAGGCATTATGTTCACTAATAAGAGGAGATGTTATGTGATACATAAAATAGAGAACTAATTCACAGCTGGCAAGAGACAGCAAGCAAGCTAACAGACAGGACTCGTATGTATGCCATTAGTTGCATCTGTGCACTTTGTCCTTGGTCCTGGGACGTGTAGTCTTCCAGGCATTTCCGTCGTTGTGGGCACCTATCATACCAGTTTTCCGACAGACAGGACCATCCTGTCGCCCAAAGGCACTTCGAAGCCTTAGGCTACATCATGGGCTTGGGCGCGAAGAGAATGCTCTAGCTAGCTGGAGCTAGCTAGTCTAGCTGTTGTCCACAGTTAAGACAGTCGCGGATCTCGCCAACCTTGGGGATCCAATCCGAGAGTCTGGAAGATGAGCGAGATCCAGAGCGAGATCCACCAAGATCATTGGCTAAGAATCGAATCGAATCGAATCTTTGATGCAAACGCGTGCAAGGGGTATTTAATTAAGTACCGGTTACCGGTACCGGTACCTGCACACGTCTACCGGTACCGGTACGTACAGTACGTGAGGTGACTGTCACTCAGTGAATAGAATAAGGTGGCTGCATTTGTGGCCTAAGGTGTACATGCAGACATACAGGTATCCTAAAATCCAAATAATTCACAGTTGCCACAGACTAATGAGCCACTTGACTTGACTTGGATCTTTTGATGCAAACAGCTTGCGAACGCACCTGTGCAAGGGTTTTTCTGTACCGGTTCACTTCTACGTGACACGTGGTACTGAAGACTTGTTGAACTGGTACCATACCGGTATCCCTTGAGTGCCGACTCGACTCGACTCTCCAGAGAGTCATCTGCAGAGATGACTGCAAGTTGTTGGCCACAAGGCTATCTTCAAATTTATTGTAAAGCCAAAGTTGTTTGTTGGAACAGAGAAGTTTCAGGTTGTCCCGATAGGGTATTTACTTTTGGAATTCAAAGCAGAGTGCGTACTCTCAGGAGTCTCTTAAACCATGATCGGATTTGTTAATCTTCAGTTTCTCTTGGGATCTTTTGTGGCTTGTGCCACGGCATTAGTTTCTGCCGCGGATGCTGCTGGTCCTGTTGTGGTTTCGTTTAGTGGTGGGTCGAACCCTGGAGTGATCTTGGCAATGTTCGAAGCGGCGGCGATGAAAAGGATCGATGGTGCATGGGATCGCGTGAAAGTCGTTGGATCGAATAGTGGAGGTACTCAGTTTGCCACGCAGCTATTCTGGGGTCCCCAGATGTGGAATGACTTCTTATCCCCCCAAGATGCTGATATGACTGCTAGTTTTGAAGCCTATGCCGATCAATACAACGAAACCTATATCCTCAAAGGCTGGATCAATCAAGAGGAGGGATACGAACAACCTCTTATGGAATTTGAACTCCCTCCCAACATGACCGAGGAATGCATTGACGTTGAGCTTTGGGCGTCCTATTTTCTCCAGCCCTCCTCGTTGGGGATTATGAACGATCAGCCAACCCGGACACCCAATTGGGGTTGGGGTGCTACCGGAACAACTGTCCCCCTTGGTACAATGGTAACTGATGACTTTAGCAACACGGATCTTTCAGGAACGACATTTGTTGCAACTACTTCCTTGTTACCTGATCGTCTTGATGAGGATGGCTTAACCTGGGTGGTTGCTGTTACTGATGATGGAGGAGCTGTTGTCCCCCCAGGGTGTATCTCACCCCACGGGTTTTCTGTAAGTGCAAAGGACGGTCCCAAGTGGTTGAGCCCCAGTGGACTCCAAGGTTACAGCCTATCTACGACTTCCTCCGACTCCGACGAGATCACACCACTTCCCCCTCCCCAAGACATGACTGTCAACGAGTTGCAGGGATGCAGTGGTCATGCATTTGAAAACTTTTTATCGTCGCCCACTATCATGAAAGCGATGACTTCGTTTGTTCCCGGTCTTTCTCCTCTCATTGACCAATGTTTCCCCGAATCCGGTGTGGAGGGTGCGCTCAAGACAACCCATTGCAATTTGCAGATGGAGGCTTGGCGGAGAACACGGGTATGGCATTTGCACTGGCTCAGTTGCAAGCGGACTACGACTACGACGAGTCGTCAACCGCAACATTGCTGCTTTTCAACAATATAGAAGGAGATTCATTTGTGGAAGCACTCTTTACCGCCGTGAATGAAACCGAAATAACTGGAATCTCGCCGTTTTGCTATCCAAAGCCGACACTATTCATCGACGCCTATCCAACCGATGATTTCCAGAACTATACCAACACTATGGTTGAATGGAACAACACGATGTACGAGCATTTCGCCCAGTATTGGCAGGGGGAGGTAACGACTGTGGACAACCCATTCTACGGAGTGACGGGAGGGCAAAAGCTAAAACTTTTGATTATCTTGAACTTTACTCCTCAAGTACCAAACGTGAACCCAGCCGAGGCAGGACTCTATGCAACTGCCGAATCGGAAATGCAAATGGTAGCAGACACCAAACATGTGTATGCTCAAATTGCACAAGACATGACAGGTGCAACCGAACAGTTGTTGCGAGCAAACGTTTTCACGACAGCATCGTCAGATCAAGCGAGTGAGGATGGCTTCAATGGTGTTGCTCCAAACGAGGACAGTTTGGATGACCCTCAACCATAAAGCAAACTTTCTCGATCTTTGTGCAGAATGCACCTGTTCCGTCTGTGTTTCCCACTGGGAACTGGTCTGGCCACTGGTCTGGCAGCTTTGGCAGCTTTGCGTGGTGCTTTCCCCTCCTGTAGACAACCAATAATCGTTTAAACTTCTGTGTGACTTTTATTTGGTTCTATTTAGACTGTAATGAAGGGACCAGGCCAGCCCGGAAACCCCACGCGTAAAGGTGGATGGGTATATAAGCAAGATGGAGCTCAAGGGCAACAGAACCCCACGACAAATGGGAAGGTGTGTCACCCAACAGAGGCCACCACAAACTAGCTATGTAGGGACAGGACGACTGTCACTCGACCTGTATTGTTGGGATCTTTGAACTAACTTTGCACGAGTGTCCAAACCACTTGACCCAACAATCCGGGACCACCAACCCTCTTTCTTGCGTTCTTCCTTTTGTGGTTCCGAGAACACAACATCCAAAGCCAGCTTGGTGTCAACAACCAGGAGACGATGGAAATGGAAGGATCGGCCTGTGTTGGGGGTTACAATCTTGACTGAAGACTCTCGCGATTTGACATCATCATCAGGCCAGACATCATCTTTGAAGCTGAACTGGTAATCCTCCTCCACCACACGCCCGTGTGTTAGATACGAGTACGACGATGGCAGTGGAAACGCCAATTCACGTCCTGGTTCTGGAAAGTCGCCGGTGAAGTTGTAATTCCAATGCCGCTTGGGCAACCTCAGTTCCGTTGTAACGACACTGATAGGCAGTTTTATGTGAGGCGGGGCAAGGGATAGGGTCCCATTCTGCACCCCATTCATCGGCTCGTCGTGTGTGCTGATGTAGGTCAGCTCCACAGAAGTTTGCAGGCTACGGCCGGCATTGGCGGCTTCTGCATCCAGACCCACCAAGAGAGGTACCAGAATGGAGCGTTCCCTACCACCCACAGTAGGCTTTGCTGGGACCGAGTTTACAAGGAGAGTGAACATGGATGCACTCTCGGGCAAGCCAAAGAGTTCCAAGTACTGCAGTTTTGTGCTCTGCAGCACCAGGAGCAGAGAGTGCACGGTGTGGGTCTCCGTTACAACGGCCTTGTAGTGTAGCCGGTCAACAGCAGCTTCAAGCGTCTCCATGGCAACATGGACCAGGACATCTATGACCACGGATGCGTTCTGTGGATTCAGGTACTTGTAGCTGAGCACAATGGGCCGATCCATATTCAAGCGTAGTTTGGAAGATATTTCGGTCGGCTCGCATTGGGCAATGCCTCCTGTTGTCGAATGTCCGTGCACCTCAACATTGGCATCCTTGGTAACGCCGACATGTCCCACTTGTCTCAAGACGTTCTGGCATTCAATTCTTGGCAGCTCAACCTGCTCCTGCTGCGATCCCTTCAGATCAGTTTCCGTGTGGATCAAGAGGATTGCGCTGGTGTCCAGGTGAGACCTCTTCCACGTCACCCGGACCATCATCACGTTGTCGTCATCGGCGCCTGATTTATCCACAATTTCCCAGCTCTGGAGAGCATGACCTTCCATGGATGTAATGCGCACATTGGGCCCATGCAAGGCAAAGAGCACAGGCGACGCCGACAGCTCGCTGGTGGACGAATACTCCAAGATGTGCGAGCTCCTGACTGTGCCTTCTCCCACCGAGTGCATAACCTCGTGGATAGCAGTCACCTGAGGGACCTCCTCCGCGACTTCTGCCGTCCCTTCTTCCGACGACGAAGCATCCTTTTGCTGCTGTTCACCCCCAGAAGCAGTGCCGACATCAATCCAACGAATCTCGACGCGATCCGCCGTTAGTGGAAGCGTCACACGGATGTCGGTCATGGACGCTTCTTCTTCTTCCTGATGTGGATTGTCGACCCTCCATACTGCTTCAACGGGTTGCACACTAAACTCCCTCACGGCACGACTGGTACCGTGATGATGAACACGGAACCGAAAGTCTGAGAGAGGATAGAGAAACTGACTCATGACCATTTCGTGAATGTTGTTTCTGGATTGCAAAACACGACGATAGGCTTGGTAGCGAATCCGAAAGAGACCAGACCGAGAGGTGGCGAGTTCCATGGCCTGACTGTTGTCACGGAGCAGCAAGACATCCGGGCTGGTGACAGGATCAACCAATGTAAAAGTATTAGTGGAGCCATCCGTCTCTTCCAAGAATTCCACTTGCCAATCGGAAGCCACGGTGGTATTGGACACTAACGGCACTTTAGTCCATCGTTGATTCTTCTTTGCATCTTCGTTTGTTGGGCTTTCATCTCCCATGACGCGAATTGTCATTTTCATGTCGAAAACTGCCATGTTATTATCGTCCGTGGTGCTCGTGGCAGCGGTAGCATTGTAGTTTCCAATGGCGGCGTACTCGAGGACCTGGAAGTTTGTAGGAAAGATTTCTTGCTGGTGTTGCTGTTTGAGTTGTTCCAACTTGCTCAGATGTTCATCATGATTTCGTTGTTTCTGGTCTTGCAGTTTTCGGTAAACATCCTTGAGTTTGGCAGTGGAGTAGAGATCCTCAAACTCGACCAATGTCAACGTCACTTGAGCCCTTTGATCGGCGTTTGCGACGAAAGGCGACCAGCTGCCAAGAATCCAAAAAAGAAGGAAAGACGTCAACTTCATCTTTGTTTTGTGTGTGTTTGATTGGTACCTGTAGTTGCTCTTTTTGATGTTTTGCTTTGTTGGTTTTGTGTATGGTACTCCTCATGAATGCTTCGATAAGGGTTGTGAGCTCAACTGATGGATTGATCTTGTGGTGTCGGCCAGGGTTCGCTAACCAGTCACTAGGGTTCTGGTTATTGGTTAATGGTTGATCAACCAGTCAAACTAGGGTACTGGTTATTGGTTAATGGTTGATCAACCAGTCAAA